TGACTTATTCTTCCTTCTAACAAAATACAACTGAATGTTACCAAGTTAAAAACATAACAGCTATGTCAACAAATTTAAACTTAAACAAAAACTAAAACCAATACTATTTCTTCTTTCCACACCTATATTTCTTTACCTGATTTCACCTTTAAACTTTTACAATGACTTTTAGAAAACTGGGAACTAATTTCACTCTAAACTGAAAAGGCTTTGATGATCACCCTGGTAACATTAGCTCAAAGGCAAAACCTGTGGTAGTGAAATTTCATTTCATAAATATGAAACGACCAAGAGACCTGCTCAGTGCATTCTACAGGACACAACAAATTAATATCAGAATTGTCTGCATTAATTAACCCACAACAGGGGGTAATTTATTTTTTTCAAGGTTGGAAATCAAAGTTGAATAGATTAACATTTAAATTTTCTGTAGGAGATTGATGACATTTAAAAATCTTTGGTGCAAACGTCAAGTACTACACTGGGTCTGTTGCTCTTAGGTACTGTTTTACACCCTTTTTTAACAATCGAGAGACTTTCTGTAACAATTCCATTGAATCTCCAAATTTTCGTTTTTATTTGCCATTTAATGAGGTTTATTTCTATGTATTTGCAAAGATGGAGTGATAGGTCTCCTATCCGTATATTTCTCTGTATTTTTAATATTTATCATTTACAATAATGATATTATACTATTGAAAGCTTCTACAGATACAGTAATTGGGATATTTCTGTAAAACAGTAAAAAAAATAGTTATCGGTCTGTATAACAAAGAAAAAACTATACAAATAATGGTAAGTTATTGTAAGATTCTGAATATAGAGACAGATTGGTGGCTAATTTAATAGACATAAGCGTTTGAGAAGACACAATCATTGTTTGATAACTTGCCAGTCAGGTATTATTATTACAAACCTTTATTAGAGGTCTATTTGTTTATTTTATCACCTTCGTAAATTCAAAATTCAACACGAAGTTCTGAACATGCCTAAATTTAAATCCCCATACATACTAGCGGTTACTTAGGAAACAAGTCAAGACTTAAGTATCTCATTGGCTGCAAACAAGACGAAGCCACCAATCAGAATAATTGTTGTTGCATTGAGGCACGCTGCCTGCCCATCACGGAAGATAAACATGGTAATGTTGTGGGAGCATGACTTTATCATGAACTGTTTGGTGTAAAAATTGAAATTATATACTGTATATATACACAAAAAAAAAACGTTTTTTACTTTAGCATTTAGTGTTTTTTTTCTTTGTTAGAAAAGAGCATTTACTTCGCAACAACGCACAAGTCCATGAGAGGTTCGATATTTAAAAAAATGTTATGATATTTTCAATTTCACTTTGTTGATGTTGCTAAAAATGGGAGTCCTTACAATTAATAAATCGATGTTACATTCTGCTCTTATAATATAGTATTTTCTACGGTTAAGTGCTCCTCTGCAAGGACTGAAACGAGATTTGTTGAGAGTAAAAACGGTGTTTTCTCGTTAAAATCAGGAATAAGAAAATCTTGAGATTCCAAGATGTACAGTGGACTTCTTCCAAGGGGATACGACGAAAGTGATGAAGAAAAAAATTCTGCTGAGCAAGGTGCTGACGTTACGGAAGATGCTTTAGAAACAACTACAATAAAAGCTGTATCTCCGAACACTAAATCTGCCTTTGATTCGGAAGAAAATGACACCGGGCTCGATAATAATAAAAATACACAGTCAAACTCTGAGAGCGAGTCGAAAGATGTATCGACGGACGATTGCTTACCTGGAGTATCACTTGAGATGTGGAAAGTAGGTTTGGTTATTGATTGTAAAGAAAAATAATACAATGAAATGTAAATGTGTGATAATCCAAACGGAGATTCGATACTCTCTTTAAATGCGGTATAAAGATACTGTGTGTTGATGTTATTGTTGATGGTATAAGGAACTACCCAAATAAATTGACAAATAAAGTCCTAAAATACTGCAGTGCAAGTGGTGTAGACTATAAAATCGTTAAATGAACGAAAACAAAAACTGTTGCTTTAAACACTAAAGAAAGCTTTTTAAAAGTTTTAAAGAAAACTTATCCTATTCCTAAATCATATTTGATAACGATTTTGCATAACACGTCCATTAAGGCTATATTAAAACATAACAACACTTTATAGCCTATTTTCAGAAGAATATATACAAATAAGTATTTGTTAACATTTTTATATCATAAATGCTTCCAAAACCTAAATGGTGTGAGTTAATATGTTTATGCTATGACATCTGGAAAAGTCGTGACAAAGGAGTATAATGCAGTAACTTTAATCAGGAGGGTGTTCTGAATCTGAGCTGAATTATCAACACTAATTTGTTAATTAGATTGTCTAATGTTTAAAATAATATTCAAAATAGTTTAATAACAGTTTAATACTTACCAAGCAAGTAGAAGGATGATAAATGACATGTATGCATTAAGGGTTTTGGTAACTGTTGCAGGTGCTTTTCAGAAACTGAAAATATTCTCTCTGAGTATGAAAGTTTTTTTTTCTCAAAGCAAAGCTTTGTATTTGGAGAAGTGTTGAGTGTGAGAAATGAAAGTGTTACAGTTTGAACCATCTGCAATTGATGTATTTAAAACTTATTGACTGTTTTCATTTTTTTAAGCAAGCAAACTTCCTCTTACACCAAAGTGTAAGATTTATAGCAGATATTATATCATCAAAAATAGTGTTTTATTTTTTTAGAATTCGAATTGGAGTTATTTTTAAATAGATTGGTATGATCTCAATATATTTTGGTTTTATAAGGCCAAAACTGTAATTAAGAACCTTGAAATACCTAGAAATGCAGAACATGGAGAAACCCATGAATGCTCTTTTCTCTTAGCCATGAAGAGAATTTATATGGGGTTGAATCAATCATTGTTTTCTTGATAAAATGTAACTTTGTGCTTTTTGTATGTATTTTTCTGGGTTTTTTTTTAATTCTATTGTGTGTTTCATCTGTGCAGAAGTTTAAAGAACTTAAGCATAAACATTTGGAAATGAAGAAAAAGCCACAATCGAAGGTCAGGCACCGAAAAAGAAAACGCCACAAAAAAGGTAAAACCAATGTTTTATGTAGAAATGGTAGATCTTAAATGGAGGTGCAGGTATTTTTTAAATAAGAAGGAACTTATTGTGTCTTACCATTCAAACTGGTTGATAAACATGCAAGAAACAACATTTTTTACAAGTGTTTAAAGTAAGATTTATTACTACATTGTGTTATCTTAAACCCACAGAAGTAGATTCAGAATCTAAAGGACTTTTTCCTCATGTGCATTTTATGTTTCCAAGCAGATGAGAAAACAGTCTCAATGGAGCCAGAGAAGGAGAGGTACAGTACCAAAATATGTTGTGATTTTATGTTTAGTTTTTGTCCTCTAATGGGAGAGTATTATAAGAAACATATTATTACTCATAAAAGCAGTAATAAGGTGTTAAGATGTCGTGTTAGATAATTTGTGTTTCTCTGAAGTGTAACTAAGTTTCAAGGGGTGAATGAGTGCAAGAATGTTAGATTCACACAAAGGGAGAAACCCAGCACATTACCAGCAAACCAAGTGCTGATATTTGTAAAACTGGGGTTATTCCTCCTGACATAAACTATTTATTTGCATCGCTACATTTTTTGGCCCTGTGATCTTGTGCTTAAAATGGCAAGTACTCAGTTACAAAATAACAGTAAAACAGTTTAATTACAGGAAAAGGTAATATTTACAGGGAATTTCATTTTATGGTATCACTCATCTAAAATGAAGATATTTAAAGGCAATGAAAATGCAAAATTTTTGTTGTGAAAGAAGTTGATCATTTTTTTGCTTTTTACTCATCCAGTTAGAAGTATTCTACTTGATATTCTGTTGTTGATGTTCCTGCATACTGTATATTATTATCTGCTGTGTTAACTGATATAGTACAGTAAAAATGTCTTCTCAGTTAACATCTTTCACGGGGATAGTTCTCATGGAAAATATTGATAGAAGCAGAAGCAGTGACAAAAGAGCGTTTCATAAATGAAAGCCTTTGCTCACCTGCATATGGCTTATCAAAAAAGGCAGTGTGCATTGTAATGAAGATTAGACCTCCGTTTTTATATGATATTTAAATTAAAGATTGGGGAGGCATCAATAAACCAATTTAATACAGTGTAATTTTAAAATCCGAAGTATTGATGCAACTGCATGGTTTATGGTTAGTCTGGAAGCAATGCTTATACATTTACACAGTCCACCAATTATTAAATTAGTGGCAGACACTATCACTTCTCTTTAATGAATAGTGTATGTACTACAGTTAAAGGGATATCACGTAAAGAACACATGTTAGTTATACAGATCAAAAGATCTGATATAACAGTTCTGTTAAACATCATGTGAACTGGGCTGCCATGGCTTCTGTCATGTAATGATTTGTTGCCATGTTTTAATTTATGAATGCATTTTTGTTATTTTGTATATAGCTACTGAGTAGAGTTAATATTTAGATATTTGACTGAATTGTGGAATAAGTTGTATATTTTAAAATAAAACAAAATAATAGTAATGTGATCATGACGCATGATAAAGTACTCATTTTATTTTTTAAAAAAATTATATTTGTAAAATTAGGAGCTTGTTGCCAGTTTAGCAAATAATATGGGAGTGCTTTATATCCAACTGTGCAATTCCTCAGTCTGACAGAAAATATTTTGACATCAGTCTGCTTTGCATAGAATTTATTTGGACATGTTTAGTTCTGTGCTATAATTGAGTTATGAATGTGCTATCCATGTACAAATGTAAAAATTAATTCCTTAGCAATTTCAGGACTTTCATACTATGTGACAGATCCATTTTACTTATAGATTAAATTAAAAAACGAGAGAGAAGGCCTTTTAACATTTTTTAAAAATCAAGAATTTTCTGATAGTACTGCAAATAAACTTTGTGTTTGTTTCATGTTTCACAGAGGTGATTTAGTTTTTCCAAAATAATTGTGAAATTTGCCATGATTTGAAAACCTACTTTAGTTATTTGGAACTGTTTTACTTAGTAAGGTATTTAAATGAAAATGATGTTGTTAATGTCTTTTCTGGCTGGATGCAGAACACTTTATTCAGCCGTGAATATTAAAACCTCTCTGTGAAATGTTCTATTTCTCACAAACTAAACCATTTGATGAAAAGAGAGAGAAATTATGTTCCCTATATTGTTCTGAAATTCAAAACTAAATCAAAGTGAATGACATCTTGATTTCAGTAGACATACATTTTACCAGATGAGCTTGATGTTACAAGGCTTTTTCTTAAGAAGTATATTTTAGATTTTTTTTTTCAATTTGTTGGCTGACCTGTTGTTTTTTTACCTTTTTACACTGGTGTGTAATCATCACTTCACTTTAAGAAAACTCTAGGCATAACTCACATTTTTTCACAAGAATACCAAATCAGAAGTCATATCTGCAGCTTTTTTGGAAGAAAGACAGTGCTACCACAAATTCCCCTCCCTCCTTTGATACGAGCACCTTGTGTTACGACTTTCTCATGCTCTGCAAGCCCAGAGTCCTTTCAGATTTCATTGCAGCTGAACATGGCATGGATCGTGGCAGTCCAGCTCTGGTCAGCAATGATACAACCTGAATATGAATGAATTCCAGAAATCACAAAGCAGTTTATACAGAGTAATTCACTGAGGAATCAGATTCCCGGAAATCAAGCAGAGTAATTATTCCATCATTCCAGCTGTTTTCAAAATTATTTTGTATAATGCACCAAAGTGTATTTTTCAGATTGTGACAAGCTTGGAATTTAGCATGCAGTTTAACCTTTTGTTATGAACCATTTTATGATTAATTCTAGGCTCATCTGGTACCAGTGTTTTATTTCTGAATTTAGTATTCATTAATTACCTGTGATTACTTATGTTTTTTTTTTTATGAATTGCTCTATTTGATGAATAAAAGAGCAAATAAAAGAAACCAATCTTTAAAAACAAAATAGCAGCTTATACATGTTACCAGACAGCTCATCTTACCTGGTATAAGAGTAGTGGTGTCAAAGAATGTATTCATGTTGAAAACCCTTGTGTTGAACAGTCTATGTAATGATCTTACATAAAACAGTTTGTGAGAAATTGTTGAAAATGTTGTCATTTTTCAGCATGCTTCAAGCTGAGCGTGAAGCACACTGGAATGAGCTTAAGCAGTACTTTGGCATAAATGATAGGTTTCAGCCTCCTGCCTCCAGCAGACCTCTTCCCAAGGTAATGATTCCTTTGCTGTCTTATTTTCTCTATGAAGATTTTGTTTTAAATACCATTGTGCTGTATGTAAAATAGAATGTAGTTTTACAACCTTCCCCCCTCTTAAGTACTCGTGTAATATTTGTATTTAAATGTCCATAAAGGACAGATGAGCCGCATCCCCCCCACCTTTGCTTAAACATCAAATTTAGCAACTGATAAAGCAATTCAGTTTGAAAAGGCTTTCTGGGATTTTGTATTATGTTATGTGTGCTGTTATATTTAACACTCAGATTATCTGCTTAAGAAAACCTTCAAGCAGACATGGGAGTGATAATTCTGTGGGTTCTTTTCAGTATGATTTAAATAAAATGTGGATTTCACTTCCTGCGTACATCTGTTCAAGGCATTTCATCAGGGGGAAGTGTTTGATAGTTTCAACTACCGCGTCAGACTCGAGATTGTTTTAAAAGAAGAAACCACAGTGCCATATGGGGACTGGTGGTCTCATTAAGGGTGATTACATTAAAGCTATAATTCATTTTTAAAAAATTCCTGTTGCTTATGTCGTGCAACATATCTTATTAAAGCAGCTGTTACTGTCTGATTATTTTTGTCTGCTTGGATTGGTATTCTTACTCTTGAAAAATGTTTATAGACTTGGCAAATATCTTAAAATAAACTTGACAAATATCTTTACTAGGTATTGAAGGTGATTGTAAAGTAGGGTAGATGACAAAATGCTGCTCAGAAAGTTACAAATATTTCTTGAAATCCATTTACAATTGTCCTGTTGTATTTTTCATTGTATTCTTTGTGTTAACATGGCTTTTTAATCCATTTCTTTGGTTCCCCCTTAATATGTAATGTAGCAGCTGTTGTACACAAAACTCATTAGAGCCACAGTCCATTGAAGCTAGTGTCTCTTTGATGTGCATTGTAAAACTCATATAGCTTTTCTGAAGCACATTTAGGAAGTATTCTTATTGCAATAGTAAGTTACAGCTTTTAATAATTATGGAAGCAGAAACTACAACAGAACTTGCAAATAAGTTATACAAAGTTAATGAATAGTTTGAAAATAAGGTAGAATGCTGTTTCATGTGAACTTTCAGCAAATATTTAGTTATGAAGCTATTGAAGACACTACAAGAATAATTCATCTGTTTACATAGAACTTTAGACTAAAGTGCCAAGTTCTGTGTGTCCAGGTTTTGCCAATGCAATCTCCTCATTGCAAACGTGTAGTAATAAAAAGGATAAATATAGTAGTACCTTCAATGTTCAGTGCAGTGTCTTCTTCTACAGTGTACAGTAACTAAATGTACTAAATAAATGTGTTCAATATTCAAAAAATGTCAAGTCAAATAAACGTTTTTCACGGTTTGAGGTGTTTAATGAAGCAACGGGTGAAAAAGTATGTACACCTCATGTTCCACAAAGTACCTAGCTATAATTGTATCAGATATTAAGATATTTCAGAAAACTATGTTTAATTTACAATTGACTGCCCTTTTAAAACAATTATTTGAATATCTCATATTTTTTTTCTTTTATGTTATACTGTATATACTGTAGCATATTGAGTTAATATTGGACTCTGATATATACTGCATGGTTATGTTGTCACAACTACATTGTTAATTGTTAATAACATTTCTTAAATTATCGTAGTTTTGTTTTTAGGCATTGCAACCATTTCAGGTTGTGCCAGGATCTTTTTTTCATTCCTGAGAAATGCACACCCAATGGTTGTAGCTGAGGGCCTAAGCTAAAATAGTTGAATGAAACTCACATGTCTTTGCAGGAGATTGACAGTGTTAATTGGTTAACTCTGCTTCTTGTCACCAGCTTTGAAAATGGGAGAGCTTGAGGGCCTATTATAAATTTCACAAACTCTTTATAAAACTTAAAGAACAGCATGTCCAAGCTAGCAGAACGAGTTGGAAGTACTTGTTGTACAGCATATGGGAAAACACTGTGGAATTTATTACTTCAAGATTCTGCAAAAATAAATAACACAGGAGTGATAGGCATAAAAAGCAACTATCATAAACCCTCCAGATATAGTCTTTAGACATTCCTCTCAGTTTTTCTATATTTGTTTAACACTCAAAAGTATTTACCTCCTTTGACTTTTTCCACATTTTCTTGTGTTACAATGTGTCATCATTATCCATTTAATTGGGATTTTTTGCTATTTATCAACACAAAACACTATAATTTTGCTATAAAGTAAAAAAAAAATTCAACAGATCCTAAATTAATTAGGAAAAAAATAACTAATTGCATAATTATTCACCTCCTTTGCTATGACTCACCTGGTGCAAACATAATTAGATGAATGTGTGCAATTATGGTGTTTCACATGTGTTCAGGTTAAATACACTTATCTCTGGGAGGTCCCACTGTTGTTTAGTACAGCTCTGAACAAAAACCACATCAAGAAGACAGAGGAACATTCAGAGCAAATCTGGCATAAGGTTGTTGAAGAGCACCAATTGGATAAAAGTTAAAAGAAAATTTAAAAAATATTATAAAGAAATAGAGGAATTATGGCACAACTGTGTTTGAGGGCATCCTCAAAACTGAGCATACTAGTCTGAGAATGGCTTCCAAGGGGTCTATGACAACTAAAAGAATTACAGTTAGAAGGGAGAAATTGTGCATACGACAACAATTCACTGTGTAAACATCCCAATTAAATACAGTATGATTCCATTTTGTAATGTGAAAAAGTCCAACGGGGGGTGTATACTTCTGATAACCACCTTACTCCATTACTACATCCTCATGAATAACCGAGTGCTGTCTTCCACTGATCTATGAATATTTCAAGGAAGCACTTGGAACTGTTGAGCCTTTTGAGATGATGACATTTATTAGGTTTAATTTACCAATGACTTACCTAGATCTGTCATTGTTTAATTGCCAGAAACAGCTAACCAAAATAGAATATGCCACCATAAGAGAATATGCATTAGTGTATTATGGAGGTGGGGGTTTGCTATACTTTCAGATGGAGTTGGTTGAGCTTAAGCCTTTGAGGTTCATCATTTGAAGGCAGTTGATGTCCTGAGTTTTTCTATATTTGTACCTCATGAACAATCAGAACTTGGGAGCCAGCCTCCAGAAAAAATTGTCCTTTTAATGCCGACATTTGATATAGACAGGCAGAAGACCGTCTAAGAAAATCTTGATTTATGGTCCATTAATTACAGCTTTACTTGCAGACCACTTGTGCCCCAATTTACCAGCTACAATGAAAGCAGTCGGAGCATTACAATTTTGACTTAAATTTAATTAATCTAATTAAAATACTCTTCTAATTAAGCCAACTTTGTGGAATGCAAGGTTTGTAAATAGAAATGAGTTATTTCTTACTTTAAGCCATGTATGCTTTAGCAGCAGGCTTATAACTTATTAAAAACGACTTATGATAACTGTAAATTGTGTGTATGAGTTTCTTTTAATGTTTAAATGTTCATTTTAGAAACAATGATAGCAAACTTTTAATTTGCTTCAAAATGGACAAAATTAAATATAATTTGATTAGAAACATAGTAGTAGTTTAAAAACTTCTTTAAAATGTAATTTTCAAGTTAATTTGTTGTAAAAATAGCATGAAATTGAGCATTTTTGCCTGCTGTTTCAGTAGTTTTGATTTGTCTTGTAGTGTAAAATGAATATAAGACATTTTGGAGGTTGAGACTCTGTGCTGTGTGGCATTTAAAATCCAACAGATTCGAACTTTTTCTATGATACCTCAAAATAACCTGATTATTTTCTGAGCTCTTAAAAAAATATTTTCTTCATTTTAAAACACTGAATTTAAGGAAAGATTCTTTGCACTCCTGTTAATTTTAAGATACATAATTTAGTTATGTAGTTAGTTATGTACTGTATGTATGTCAGTAACTGACTTATTTTAAAATATTTTACTGTATATACATTTTAAAATGTCTTAAAATGAATCTAAGAGATTTTAAAAGATTGGTAAGATACACAACTTACAATATTTTACACGTGATCATTTTGATATCACTAATTCTTTATCACTGTAGCTATAAATTCAATTTTTGTTTTTTTAATTGATTATTTGGTTTTTGTTTTGATGTTTTTCTCTCTGTCCTTTTTTTCATAAAAGTAAATAGAAAAATAGTAAACTTAATATTCACAATTGACAGCTTTATCATATTGGATGTATGTTTATAATGTGTAAACATTATATTTATGAAATACATACAAAACACAGAAACCTTGAATGTGTTGACCTTCATGTGAATTGTTAAAAACACAATTCAAGTTGCCATATACAGTATTTTTTTAAAAAATTGCCTTAGAGGATTAAATCACTTTTCATGTTTGCTTTTCTTCTATGAACTAAAGAGGAACCCAGTAATTTTCTTTTCACTTTTTATGTTTTTTCCAGTTTATAATTTTTCAAGTTTCAAGTGCAGGGACTTTTCAGTATATTTAACATTCTTAAAAGTAAATAGGTCTGGGAATGTGTTATATAATTTGTAAAAAATACACATTTATTCTCTCACTTTTTAGATTAAAAGGTAACTATGCATTTTCTGGTGTATTTAAAAGACGTAACTTTCAAGGTTTTAATCACTGCATGGAAGATATCAGTGATGTACCAATTGTTGCTGTAAATTATCCTCCAAAGCACAGACCTGTTTCGAAAGAGATTTCTGTTACAGATATAATTTAATGAAGCGTAGTTATGTCCATCAATTATGTACCTTAAGCTAATTTTTCTTCTTCTTTCAAAATAGGCCGTCCACTTTTTAAATATTTTGTTACCAGAGGACTGTCAGGAATAATAGGAGTGAAGTAATTTGTTGTAGATTTAAAAGGGGATGTTTTCTGTCATCGTCTTTCAGGAGTGGTTAAGTTTAAAATATTGATAATGCATATGTAGGCTTAAGTAAAAGAAAACAAACCTTATTGTGTTTCAGTCAATGCATTTCACAATTAATCCCTACCATTTTCTCCCCTGATAAAATCTACTATAAAAATTAGACATATTAGATTTGTAGTGTTTGATGTTAAATTTTCTGCATAGTTACATAGCAAACTTTGTAGGCCTGACATCTTGAAACAGGGATATTTCTGCTTGTGCTACTTTTTAGCTTGTAATAGAAATATGTAATTAAAGTGGCACATTCACTTTTATTAATCTCCTGTAGCATTTCTATATTTCGTGCCTAATATCTAATCAAAGGTTTTCTTTTGAAAGAAAAAAAAATCTACATATTTGTAGTGAAAGCAATCATATTAAAAATATTGCCTCAGGGAATTTTTTTTACTCGGTGGTTCTTTGATTTATTTTTTTTAATCGCTTTTTTCAGACAGGGCTAGAAAAGAACATTGACAAAGCCATTGCTGAAGGGGACCTTGAGACAGCTTGGGAACTGAGTGACAACTTGGCCGCACGTGAGGTACGTTGGTCTGATAGGATGGGTGTTCTTTTTGTGACAGAGGAAAACTAATAGTTCTGTAGTCGCAAAATGTTTTGCTCTGATGGGATCTCTGACTTTAACTCACTGAAAAATGGTAAGGAACAGATCCTGCTGCTCAGTAGAACGAGTCATGTAAATTCCTCCTTTTTGATCTTTAGCCATGTTTAAAGCACTTTGATTCCTAATAGAGGAAATGTTCTTTTAGTTGACACTTAAAAGTTTTTAGATATGGTCACACACCTTTGAAGTTCACTTTGCAGTTGGTGATAAAGTTTTCAAAAACTGCAGATGATATGTACTGCAGCTCAAGTGGTAGAATATAAATACTTGAACATTTTCACTTATACTTCTGTGTAAAAGCATTTTTTGTAATATTAATGTTTCACACACCTTACTGTTAGAAATCCTTTACAACTTTTTATTTTTTGCTCCAAAAATGTATCATTTTAACTGTGATTGCTAAATCGTTTGGAGCGTTGCCCTTGCAGTTGCATTCCTTTCCCATAAAATCTATTTCATATTGCAAAATAAAGGTGGAAGTATGTCATACAGTCATTTCTACACAGGCAGAAATTGGATCATGTTTGGGATATTACTACACTTAGGGGACATATTGTTCATTAAACACTTGCATATGTTCAAAGAGGAGGTGATTATCTGTTCAGAGACAAACATTTTTAATGAGCACAAGCATTAAATAGGTTTATAAGGCACCATACACCCCTCCCCCCAGTTGTACAGCTTCTGTAGAAAAAGAAAGAGAGCCATTATCTGCTCAAAAATCCCAAGATATTTTGCCAGGGAAAATTAGAAATACATTCCTGCTACAAGTCTAAGTTTAAGAAATTGCCAAGCTAAGGGTGAATATTTATTGGAATGTTGCAGAATACAGGCATCATCAAGTAACACCATATTATTTTCCCTGACTAAATAGCTGTAAATCTTACCGGCTCTAGTGCTAAGAACTGATTTTATTATTATAAGATTACTCGGACAAGAAAAAAATGGATAGGGTTACAAGCCGTAAAACCTTACTGTAATCAGGATCATATAAAGTACTCATATCAAAAAGCTCCTCAAAAGTAAAGTGTAAAAAAGGTGGGATTACAATGACAAAACTATTAAGCTCTTTTCTCTTATAAAGGCAATGAATGCCCCTTTCCACAGATTGTTGCTGACACAATGTTAGTCCAGTACTTTTTTCTTTCTGATTACATCATTATACATCAATACACCTGAAGAAGTCTCCATAGCTGAAACATTGTGTTTCTTTTCTTTTCAGCAAGGAATAAACCTAAACTAGTTCCTTATTTTTCATCAATATCTAATAGAGTAGTAATAAGTCCTATTTAACTGAGATCTGAATTGTAGATAACTTTAAATAATAATAAGTAAGATCTTCAGTATCTTGATATGTTCATATGAATATGTTTTCATATGAATATGTTTTATAGAGCACCTGTCTTTTCCTGTGTCAAAAGTTCAAATGCTATTTAAAATAACTTACACCCCAACAAACGAGTTGTCATTTTGATCTACAGTACATATCACCCAGTAGGTTTTGCGACTTGTGTAAAATGTTCATTCTGTGATTTATTGTGCATTATATTTTTTATTTGGTTAACAATTGAACATAAAGTGTATAAAGTAAAGTTTAAAATAAATACATCTGATACATAAATGCATCTAAAAAATTATTCTGTTCTTAGAAGGGATAAATGGACTGCCTGCACCACTGCACGTACATTAACACTAACATTAAGTACACAGTGGCACAGATTTCAATCAGCTCTTGTCATTTTTTAAAAAGTTTCAAAACACCAATCCATTACTGTCAGCAGGTGAAGGTATTTTTTTTACCAGTATCTGGTTACACTCTGATATTCCTATTCTTTGTTCAAGTGCAAGATACAGGAATGGGACAAAACAGTTAACTGGGAATTCCAAAATGGGCTGACAACTGTCAGGAAAAGATAAAGGAAATAATACAAACAGTACAGTGTGTATTAGCTAAATGTGGCATAGAATAAAGAATATAAAACATTGGTATGGACAAATCTCATCATTTTTCCAGGTTTATAGTGTCATGATTTACTTATAGTGTGTTGTTTGCATGTGATTTTAAATAGCTTCTTAGAACGAATTTTTGGATTACAGCAGTATTTACATAGATGGGCCTGCTCACCTGTTTCACAGCCTGCCAGATTGCAGAAGGAATGCATTGGCAATGAGCTTTGTTCTCTATGCCTGGCTGACATTCAAAGTTAGCATTTAAGGTGCTGGTGCACGTAATAGCTATTTGTGTGTCGGTGCCGTGCTGTCTGAGGGTGCATTGGCTTCAGGGTAGTGAATTGAATATCATAAAATCATTTTGAGCATATTAGATCACCCTGTCAGCGAAAAACTTAAAATACTGTGTAATTTGGAAGGCTAAATTATTGGGGTGATTGTCAGAGTGTTTAAACAATACTAGTCTTGCTAATAAGTGGTTATACTGCTTCGTTTAGTTTTGGCAAATTGGTGGGTAGAATTTACAGTGCAAAGTTGTAATTTTCAAGGAAACTACATATTATTTTTAAGTGGAGGGGTGCACTTTGGTGTAACTGATACATTCATGTAGTGCAGTTCTTATAAATTGGTACTGTAGGTGCCAATGTTCCACATTCTTAAAGTTAATCTTTTGTCCTCTGTCCTAAATTAGTAAATACTTGGGGGGTACAAAGAGGTAAACACCATACCAAAAGCTCATTGCCTGAGAGACAATCATGGTTTCTATGAAATTCAGAGGGCTAGAGAGCATGGGACTCCTGAACATTTAAGGTTATTCCCAGCAACACTGGACCCATTTGCACAGCTGGATGAACTGGAGCAACTGCAGTATAGTCCCTTGCTCAGGGGCACAACAACACCTGCACTCAGATTTGAGCCCACAACCTGTCAGTTATGAGTCTGTAAGCTTGCCCACTGTGCAATGCTGGTGCCGTGGCACAGTGGTAGATAATTTAGAAACAATACAATGCACAGTGTGATGATTGATGAAAGCTCAGAAATATGCTCCATATGATCTTTTTACATGTCTAGAATGCAGGCAGCATTAGGACCGTTTTATTAGGAACGTTTATGTTTTATTATTTTTGATCCTAGTTTGAACATGCACATCTTAAGAGGTTAATATATTGCTGTAGATTTGGCTTTAATAATAATAATAATTGCTTACACTTATATAGCGCTTTTCTGGACACTCCACTCAAAGCGCTTTACAGGTAATGGGGACTCCCCTCCACCACCACCAATGTGCAGCATCCACATGGATGATGCGACGGCAGCCATAGTGCGCCAGGAACGCTCACCACACATCAGCGATCAGGGGGGAGGAGAGCAGAGTAATGTAGCCAATTCACAGAGGGGGATTATTAGGAGGCCGTGATTGGTAAGGGCCAATTTCGAAAAGCGCCCTGGGATTTTTTTAATGACCACAGAGAGTCAGGACCTCGGTTTTACGTCTCATCCGAAGGACGGTGCCTGTTTATAGTATAGTGTCCCTGTCATTATACTGGGGCATTAGGACCCACATTGACTGCTGGCCCCACTAACACCTCTTCTAGCAGCAACCTTTTTTTCCCAGGAGGTCTTCCATCCATGTACTGACCAGGCTCACACCTGCTTAGCTTCAGTGGGTTGCCAGTTGTGAGTTGCAGGGTGATATGGCTGCTGGCTACAGACAGCAAGTGGTCAGTTAATGTACATTTTACGGATGGAATAATTAAAAGTACAAATATTGAGACATGGCACCATTACTAATTTAACTCTCGAATTAAAAACAGCACTATGTAATTCCTTCCATATGCTGTTAGAAACCTCTGAATATCTGAATGTATCATTGACGGGTGTACCAGAATTGACACGGGAAGATATTTGCTCAGCATGCCAATCCCTTCTTGCATTCTCTCAAAGTAAGAAAGTAATTTCCCAGTTCACCTGGTATGTTCTATTGTAAGAGAGCCATCCTGCAATAAAATGTTGAAGACAGGATTTAGACATTTCAGACTGACACTTTTCTTTCAGTTGTCCATGTTGTTTATGAATGAGATTGACAGCCGTGAAATTAGAACTGAAACTTGTTCCAACTACATATTAAATATTATATTCTTCTTCATTATAATAAGAAATTGACGAACATGAAAAACACAGTACGTTCAGTATGTTTTGGTATAGCACATTTCATCCCAGAGAGCAACTTCTGTGCCAGCGATCTGATATGTGACAAGATTATATTTGGTGTATTTCTGAGTCACAGTCAATGAATATTGATTGCAACTCAGACTGTACAATGCATTGTCTGAATTAGCTTTCACTGTTTTCATCTGAATCACGGTGATACTCATTAACATACACCTGCTCATTAGTTAGATGTAGTGATGCATGTTTAATGATCAAGCATGTAGGGCCTGAAAATAACTTTATGAGTGCAAAATATTGTTATCTTGAGACAGCAGTAGGAGATTCCATTTTCCCTGATTGTTTCGATTCTAAAGTGTGCATGGCTGCTTTTGTATGGAAACTACAATGGGCATAATGTATTAGAATTCATTGGTACAAATGCAAGGGTTTTTATAATAGAGAAAGGCAAAAATTTCTGAGATGGCAGCTTGGCATTATACAATGATGTAATAAATACAAAAATAAATAATGTAGATTTCTAGAGTTTGTTTGATTTTTGTTTTGCACTAGATGTTCCCATTAAACTAGATTTTTCATTTCCTTTTAAAGTTTCAGTCATAACGCATTTGTTCTAAGCACTTTATCAGGGTTTGAGTCAAGGCCACTAACATCAGAGGTTTCAATGTTGATGGGGCAGTGGTAGTTCATAATGATACCGTAAGTTGTTACTGTAAGTTGTAAAAATGACCAATGTGTCTGAATGATATGACAGGTTGCCTTGTGTTTTTCATCACGTATCAGGATGCTCTGGGGTTAGGGTTTTAATGTTTAGAAATAGTGCAATGTTTTTAGATGTTGCACAGAAGCAAAAGCGACAGTAGTGGCTACTGAGTTGTTAATTTCAACACTTTCTACTAAAAATGTGTTGATGATACTAAATCTCTTTGACAAAGTTGTTTAACTCTGATATTCCACTATGCCTACAAACACAGAAAATGTGTTTTTGAAAGACTAACTGAAAATGGAGTGCTACATTAAGTTATATAAATGAACACTGAAATATGAAATATATGTGTTATAAAGATAAAAATCTTTAACCTATAATGCTGCTATTCATGAACAGCCAATCCACACTAAGAGGGGTGATGTTCTAAGACAAATAACAATGAAGAGGACATTGTGAATTTTATGCTGTGTCAAAGCTCTGCATGTACATTTCTTTCCTTTTTTTATCTTGCCTTTTTCACATTGCACCTTTTCTTAAACCAATGTTATTTCAAAAAGATATCCCTGAAATGATGTTGCTGCAGTAGATGTTTAACTCTTTCACTAACTTAGACTATGACTGAAACTCCAACATAACTGCATTCCTGTGGCTGTTTAATTGATGCGAATGAACAAGTAAAAACCTCCCCATTTGACTATACCACTTGTTGCCTGCTATACTGTTCACACTGTAGAAGATAATAATTGATTGTCCCGATGCCAGTTCTGTAAACTACTATAGAGGGATATGCAAGAAAAACAGGAGTTACAGACAACACTAGCATTAGAAGTTGGATCTTACTTAAACTATTGGCTTGTCTAAATCCTTCATGTAGCTGTTAATCCAGTTATTTACATTGTGAAATGTAACCAATATGAAAACCAAAGCTATGTGTGCGTAACAAGCTGATTCAGAAATGTATTTTCTGTTATATTAAAGCATTGACAACGGACTTTCATTTCACCTGTCCATCCATTTCACAAAACACTTATATTTACATAGTGCTGTTATTTACTAGGCCAGTTGAAACATATGTGTGAGAAGTTCTATTTTACAAACCCATTGAACATATTTGATAGTGCTATTTTTTAAATATCAAACTGGTGTGTTAAAAAGGTCACTCCAGAAAGCTTCTGCAGACATTACCAAGAGCATAGACAGGCAATCACACAATGAAGCAACCCCTTTAGAAGTAATTTGCACCTTATTTGTCCCCCATAATCAGGTGCTAACAGGTTTTGTGTCTACTGAATACCAAGCAAACTTTCCTGTTCTATGTGGTGCTGTATGCCTCTGAACCTGCATAGAAATTAAACTCATTGCTCCTAATAGGTTTGTGACAAAACCATTAACATTGATAAAGCACATCTCTACTTTCTTTGCCTAGAGAGAAATGTATTTCCTCCACTGATGTTATTATTCTTAATTGTCCTATATATAATCACAATTATTAAACTGAATTTAGGTGGCAGCAGGATTACTATCTTGTAACCTGATCTCCTCTGGCCAGTACTAGGATGGGGGAACCAAGGAAAACCAGATTGCTTCTTCATGTAAAATTGATGGACCCGTAGGTGTCCCTCATCCTTCAGGTGAGATTTTAATCTAATGCTTTGACTACTTAGTCTCTAAAGATCCCAAGGCACGTAGGGGTGTTAATCCGAGTTGGATAGCTAAATTCCATACTGGGATTGAACAATCTGTCCCTCCTAAAGTTTACCTTTAATTCTTTTGGTGAGGATCTTTCTTGTTTCTCTGCCTGAGCTGCTGTGCATAACCCAGGTGGTGTGTGATGTGGGTACCCATCTGTAGTCAATGAAATTAGTATGATTTATTTTTTGCCCTTGTTCACTGAAACAGAGATAACAGTTAGATGTACTATGACATGGTTCTGGAATGACATGCAGGACAGGTTTACAAGTAAAGTGACATCTCAAAAACGTCGTGGAGCACAGTACTTAAACACTCAGGTTAGCTATGGGCAGGCCTAACACAACCAGCACATACCAGCTCAGTACATGAAGAGGTTTAAAGAAGTGGGGGTGGGCATGAGATTACACCATGGGAATGCAGGTGTTGTCTCATCCCATGCCTCTGGCCTTCTTCCCCTAGAGGAATGAACAGAAAATGATGTCAGAATTTAGGAGCACAGGAGTGGAGAGAGGTCTAGTAAACTCTCAGATATCCAAAAAATGAGTCAGACTTATTAAGGCCTGTATTACTGTTGAAATTGGATATTTGCCAGGTTATTCATTGTGTGTTTTATAACTGTGAATATTTTTTAACAAGTTCTTGTATGATAAAACATTAAAAATGGGCTAATACAGAAGCTTTAATTCAAATATTTTAAATGTGTGGAATCATATATTTATATGTAAGCATAAATTAAAAAAAGGTACATCAAGCACATCAATGCCAAAGTAACATTTCTTACAGCTGAAAGATGATTTGAACCGTGATTTGTAGGTTAAATGTTTTTGGAGCCTGAGAGCTATCTGGTGACAGTGAAAGGCGCCAATTTTGAGTACCACTTGAGCTGTGATCCACATATAGCTTGTTTTTTAGCCTGGGCTATGCCATCATCTGACTGTAACCAGGATTTCCTAAGCGGTAGTGACCAGTTGGCCAAGCTCTGTAAAGTTTCAGTGGGCTTGAATCAGCCTAAGCGATACAACAAGGAGAAAAGCAGTTGTGGATCAATGATTCTGGTCCTCCGCACTCTACATACCACCCTGCAACTCCAATATTTGAGTGGACAGAAAATGAACGAGCAGATGATTGCACGGCAGTGAGTTAGATTTTTTTTAAGAAAAGTCATTTAGAGAAGAAAAATAAAATATCACATTGCTGTATCTTTAAACCAGTGGAAGCTAAACTAAATTTAATCCAAAAGGAAACTACTGTTGCATTTGAAGTTTGTTTATAAAGTATTTTGACATAAAGGAGACAGTGTGTATTAATACGTTACAAAAGTTTAATCAATTAATTTGTTATTGTTAATTCCAAGGCTTTCTTCTGTTTGAGTGAATATTAAAATCTTTCAGCATGACTTTTTTAAGCCTCTTCAAAATTTGTAATGTTTGTGTTCTTTCATCTGCAGCCAAGCCTTTAGAAACAAAAAAAAAAATACAGGTTGCTTTGAAATGTACTTGTCATTAAAAATAAATGAAAAGGTTCTATTTAAATAAAGCTTTTTAAAAACTGTCATTTGGCTGAAAAATGATAAAGCTATAGAAACTAGGGAATTACAAAAGCATAATAAAAGATTATTGTTTTTTTTTGTTCATTTAGTACTAGGTAAACATTAGTTGGGTTCCATATTGCAG